CGGCATTCTTAACTTCTGCAGGTGTAGATAATGAGAAAATTGTTTCAAAATATAGTTAGTAAGTGGCAGTTATCAATATTCCTTTCGCCTGACATGAAAAAATTTAGAAAATTACCCTCTAGGTATCTATCTAGAAGATTACACATCGCTGGTCCTTATTCGAATGATCCAATTCCAATGTGAACTTAAAAAAGTCGAAATTATTCGATTACAAGAAATAACTGAAATATTTAATCATTTTAGTACAAAAGTTTTGAAAGATAAAGTCATTTCTATCTAGCATTACTATTCTCAGTTGTTTTCAGTTCCTCGACGGATTTATTACTCGAAGGTATCGCCGGAAGCTGGCGAACGAGGAGGAATCCCACAAATTTGGCGGTACGCTTGTTACGTGGGATGTCTTTTCATGACGTCACGGAATCAATACGCCGGTCTACGTCAACCACCTACGTCACCGATGACATCTTCGTCTCCCAGCCATGTCCAAGTACCAACCGGAAACGAGGGTATCGTGTTATCGTAGGTCGAACTTGCTACTCTAATGCAATTTGCCAAGTGCACGATGTCGCTTGAAACGAGCGAAACGCGTCGGATTAGCCGAGAAACAAGATTGTACCTTTCTTCCTTGATTTCACTCTATTCGGTCTTGTATCTCCAGTGGAAAGGGTTTCCGGAGTTGCGGACGTAGCCTCGAGCATGTGGTCGAAAGAGAAAACTGATTTATTGAGAAGATTCTCTGGAAAGTTTGAAAGTTATTATTTTTATTACTTACAAATTGTTTAATTGACCAGTTTAACTAAGAGTCAGGTGGTTTGATCGTTGTAAGAAAAATTGGGGGAAATTTTGATCAATCGATACTAGAATCATGTCACAAGAGATAGCATGATGAGCAACAAGTGTATACTATCTTCAAATTCTCGTAGAGAGTAGGGATTTATAAAAGATTTAGGTAAACTTCGATTCCATGTGCTTAGTGACGGATGGAATTTCATTCATTAAAAGCACAGAAAAATCTTAGTATTCTTAAAATCAAGAACCGAGGCTCCTTGTTGCTTAGAATGATTATTTGTATTACTATCTTTATCGTGATTACCAGTAACGAAGCGTATAATTAGAACGGCAAATAGCCACAGGTTCTGAGAGACCTTTCCGTGATTTGCAAAATAGTTAGATGTTGAATACCATTCTCCCTCGACGTAGCAATTTTCCAATTTGCAGTAAAGCTCGTGACTAAGTCTAGACAGATCAACAATTACGTTCTCGTTGGTGGAAATATATATCTTGTCCAATCGCGAACAAAGTGTTTTATTCTGCAAATAAAGACATGGAATTGTTAGAAAGAAACACGAAATATAATCCCCTTGGACGAATTTTTCGTCTTGATATAATCTATATCGTATACACGATGAAAGAAATTTATATCACTGAGTTGTAAATGGAAACAATTTATCTGGACTATTTTAAATGTTTAAAAATTAAAAAATGAATTCTTTTTTTAAATTAATTGATCTAATAAAAAAAAGTTCCCATTTGGATCATAATTTATATGGTAAAAATAATTTCAGTTTATTAAATAAAGAAATAAATAAAACTTAAATACCCAGATTTAAATCATTTCCATGATTTTGATTGAATGTATTGGAATTCTAAAATGACGTTTTTTCATTTCATTCGTTCCATCTCGACCACTTGTATCATATTGTACTAACCACAGCTGTGTTTTTTGAGATATCAGTGCATTAAGTCCATTGCGAGTCGACAAAAAATATTTGTTCCAAATCGTTCGACGTAATTATGTGTCACAAGGTCACGGAACTACCACGCTGTATAATAATCGTGTAAGGTCCATAAGGATTAGGAAACAATTAAACAGGAAAAAGGATTTCTTCTTAGATACCAGTTTTAGATAACTTAAACTATAAAAAATTAAATTTTTGTTTATTAAGGTTGATTACATTTAATTTCAAGTTACATCTTACCTTGATTTATATGAAGTTCAATATCTTAATAATATTAAAGAAAGTAAATGTTACAACTTAACGTATTAATATTTTTCATTTGAACTCTCTTACAAGAAATTGCGATAGTATCATGACAAAGAATAATGAACATTATCACGAAGAATTATAGTTTGCCAGAAGAAAAATAAAAAAATTCGGTCATCAACTTCACTACCGCCAAAGATAACTTCTCTTTGGAATATCTTTGAGTCAATGATGTAAACACGAGAGTCATATAGTTTGAAGTTTCGACGTCATATACAATATATTACCTTAAATGCATTTTCCTTTTTAAATGATAAGAAACATCAGTAAATAAAATTCCAATTAAATACAATAATAAATTAATCACTCTCATTTGCAAATCCTACAAATGTAAATTATATAATTTCTTATTAAATATTCCTTTACATTTAATTAATCAATTAAAAATGGCATAGAGTCAATCCATTTACACAGCCACTCTACAATATTGCTGATGATGTCTTCTGCTGCCATCTTTTGACAATCAGTAAAACATGGTACATTACTCACATCGCCGATAGAATCATGGCAATTCTTGGTGCATGCACGTGTGGTGTAAATGTAACCTTATCTTGTCGTTAATGTGAATAGAAAAAAGAAAATAGTGTTACTTGCTCGGGTAAATTAGAAATTTTTTCTATATTATTCGAAAACGTAATAAAAAAAATGGGGAAATTAGGACCGCGATTAAGTAGCCGAAAAAAGGCGAAACGATGGCCAAAAGGTCAAAGCTCGAGTTCTAATCCAGAAACAAAAAGGCATAGAAAACAGGCAGCATGGATGTTTTTTAAAGATCCCACAGGTTGTAATTTACAAAAATTAAAAACTACAATTTTTTACAATTTCTTGTTTTGTTATATGTTTTAATCTTTACAATTTCAGAAAAATCTGGTATAACAAAAGAGGATTTACAAAAACATAATGCCATTCAAGAAATTGAACCCCAGTTTGGGAAACTTGGTCTCGATGAAAATAATTGGGAAAATTCTACAGAAAATACTATTGATACATTTGCCACTAATTATAGTAATTGCTCAAATATATCATTTAGTAGGTATGTAGTTGATTGTATCTAAAGTAAATCTAATTTTAAATATAAATGAAATTTAAAGATGCTAAGTAGACAATAATCTTATAGATTTCTAAATCATTTCCAATCAAATTCATTATTACACAAGGAAATGTTAGCTGTATTGTCTGCTATTACGGAAGTTATAAAGCAGAATGGTGGAAGTGAATCTTCTACAGAATATTTTGCTGCATTGGTACATATTATAACATTATGAATTTTCTTTTTTAAAAACATTATGAAGTTAATAATTGTAAATGTTGTTATGATAGATGAGCACTTTGGAAGCACTTGAAACAAATACATCAATTGCAGCTACACTATCATTATTAGGTATGGGAATAAAAACTGTGCCAAAAAATGTTTTAAATATCCAATTTGGAGCTGCAAGTAAAATTTTCTTAGATATTCTTGTCCAACATGCCTCATCAGAAGATTACTTAATACTTCGACATGTAAATGAAATAAAATTTTTATTTATTTTTAAATACTACACTGAAATACGTTATAAATATTTTCAATTTTTTACAGGGTATTCATTGCTTGTCTTTGCTGCTTCGAGTACAAGAGTCAGCAACATGGTCCAATTCATCTACAATACAAGTATTAGATGCTATTTTGTCATTTGTTGTGCATTCAAAACCAAAAGTGAGGAAATCAGCTCAACATGGAATATGTGCCATATTGAAAGGTGAAAAAAATCATATAATAAATGTTAATAAACCTCAATATTATAATATTAATAATTGTAGGAAGCGATATCATGAAAGGTGATAATCCACCACAACATCATCCAGCATCACAACACATTGCTAAGTACTGTATTAATCAGATACAACTTAGTTTTGAATCTGGTGGTGTTACAACGGTTCTTCACATCCTTACATTACTAAAAGATATTTTTCATCATTTTCCAAAAGCCCACGTGAAGGTATCTGTTAAGTAGACATTTGTATTTGTGTTATATAACTGGAAACTTCTTTTATTTTACAGACAATTAGTGAATCTTTGTTGAAACTTATGACATTAAAAAACGTATTGTTAACTTCATGCTGTTTACAAGCTTTTCATGGTTTATTTGTCTCTCGACCATCAGAAGCTACTTTACCAGCACAAAGAAATGCACAAATTATTACTGCCTTTTATGATTATCAACCTCCAGCAACAGATACACAACCAACTTTAGCATGGTTAACTGTTATGCAAGAAGCACATTTGAATCTAGTAAAGTAAATAAAATTTTTTAATTTTTAATTTTATTTAAAAAATAGTAAATATTAATACATTTTTCATTTATAGCTCTTCAGTGAATTTATGTGCAGCTATTTTAACAAAAATGTTAGAAACATGTATGCAGTTGTGGCTTTCGGATAGGTCAGAAGTTATATCTGGTAGCTCACATACAATGAAAATATTATTCCAGGATTGTATTGGTAAAATGTGTGAAAATGAAGAAACAATTGCAAAGTAAGATTAAATGTAAATAGTATTCTTAATATATAAATTTACGTCTTATCATCTGTTTTGTAATTTTAGATATAAAGACATTATTGATCAGATAACTTTACTGATGCACAAAGCTTTGAGCTATCAATATTTAGAAGCATGGTATCACATTCTCCATTTAATAGCCTTACTTTTTGAGGTAACATTTATTTTCTATCTTTCATTTTTATATCAATATTATAAATTTAACATTTATTTTCATTATAGATAGCTGGTAAAGCAAAAAGTCCATACTTTATAGACATATTAAGAAGTCTAGCCGATTTACGGGATTCTTATAATTTTACATCAAAAAGCGATGTTGAATACGCTATTGGTGCTGCGATAAAAATTTTAGGACCAGATAGAATATTAAATTTAATTCCATTGAAAGCAAGTAATTCCACATGATATAGAATACGCTAAGAACTATTATTTTGTAGCTACAATGTAAACTATATTCTACAGGTATCAGAAAATACAATTAATTTAAAAAGAGCTTGGTTACTACCAGTATTGAAGTACAGTTTACCAGGTGGATCTCTTATCTTTTTTGTGGAAAAATTATTACCTATCGCCGCATTGTGTGAGTGAGTATCTTTAATTGTCTGTATTATATGTACTTAAATTATATGCTTATGTTTTTAACGATGATTGCCATTAATTCTAGGAAAAAAGTGAATGAACCTGCAGGAGGTAAAGCTTACGAACTTCTCATTTGCCAAGTCTGGGCTATTTTACCAAGTATATGTAACAATGCTACCGATGTAAAAGATAATTTCAAAGTGTGTATCGCAGGTATACCCGAAAAATATAATTTAATATTTACGATTTAATTTTTTTCCCCTGTAGAATATTGCTAAAATATTGGGAACAACTTTCACTGAACAAAAAAATTTGAGGCTATCGATAATGTCTGCCTTACGAAAATTAATAATAAAAGCAGTCGAAGATGATAAAAAAGAAGATGCATTTGAACTGGCTAAATTTGCAAAAAATTATCTGCCGTTATTTTTAAATGTATATATTACTAAACCATGTGGTACTGATGAAGAAGGACAACGCGCCGCTGCATTTGATACGATAAAGGTAATTTATGAATAATGACAGAAATATTCATTGAAGAAATTGATCAATTTTCTGTTCATGGTGATAGGTTTATCTTACAATAACAAACGAGGATTTAATACACGAACTATTTGATCGTGCGCTATGTAAATTTAATGAACCTAATGATGACGACTTTTTTAAAGAAAGCATTTACGATATAATAAGACTATTAACTACATATGCTGATACCGATAGATTGAAAATGTTTTACGATATGTGTATACCGATTCTTAAAGAAAGTTCTAAAGTTAAAGAACAGAAAAAAGCATATAGGTAACTACCTCTGTCATTATTGGCATCAAATATCTTAACAAAAACTAACAAAAAATTATATTTTTAGATTTTTAGAAGAAATATGTAGCAGTGAAAAGCCAGTGTGTAAATCGTTTATAGTTCAACATAGGCGTGAAATGCAGAAGCTATTAATATCTGCTGCCACTCAGGTAGCAAAACCAAGTAGAGGAGTAAGTATTACAATATATAAATTTTATTTATTAAGTATTTGACAAGATATTAATATTATAAAACAAAACTTCTGAATCAGACTCGATTAAGATGCTTAATGAATCTAGTTAAAGTTCACCCACAACTTGAGAAAACTAAATTCTTAGAGGCTATAGTTCCTGAAGCAGTCATTTATTTAAAAGATATAAATACAAAATGTCGAACGACTGCATATCAATTATTAAATAGCATTGCCGAGAAATTTTTAGAAAATCCTACACATCTTAAAGATTATACCACTATGCTAATGGTGGGTTTAAGTGGTGTACAAAAATACTGTACCGCATCTATGCTAGCACTTGCCTCTGTCACTTTCCATTATAATGGTATGAATTTACTTAAATCTAAAATTAAAAGAAATATTTAGATTAAAGTGAATAATTGAAAATTGTAAATATTATAATAGGATCTCTAGGCGTGGACACAGTTAAAGAAATTTTGGAACATGCATGTAAACTTGTTACAAGTCCTACAAGAGAGATTGTAGAAGCTGCATTATCATATATTAAGGTTTATATTACTGTGATGCCATCTCCTATCGTTGCTTCGACGTTAACTAAATTGGTAAGTATATAAAATTTTTAATAAATAAAATCTCAATTAATTGAATAAAACTAATTAATTAAATTGTAGATAGATGCTTTATGTGGAATGAACAATGATTGTCATAGACATTTTAGGCACAAAGTGCGCGATATTTTAGTAAAATTATTAAGAAAATATGGAATGGAAACAATTTCTATGATGATTCCAGCCTCTAACATAATTTTGCATAAGAGGTTGAAAAATATGAATAAAATAGAAGAGGCAAAGAAAAAGAACAGAGAATTGAGGAAATCAAGAGAACAAGAAACAGATGAAGATGGTGAATTTAGTGTAAAGAGAAGGCCTAAAACGTAAGAGTAATTTTTATATTAAAGCAATTTTTTTTTCAAATTAAAACATTATTATAGTCTTTATTAAAATTTAGTATGGAAGAAATATTGGCAGATAGTGAAGATGAATTCGAAGGTATAGAAAACGAAGAGCCAAGGAAAAACAAGAAAAGAACATCACGAAAGGAAGCTTGGATTCAAGAAAATGAGGAAATTATTGATCTCATTGATCCTGCGGCTACTAGAAATATTTCAAGTAAGTTTAAATATTTTATACAATGAAATTAATTGAAGCTTTAACTAATCATATAAAATAATTTATTAGCAACACAACCTGAAAGCTTAAGTTCTAAAACAATTGCAAAACCAAAGGATCGTGGATTTAAAACTGCAGCAGACGGCCGTCTTATTATTACGTTGGATAATGAAAAATATGTTGACACAGAAAATAAAAGAAAAAAGAAGTCGCTTTTGTTGCATAGTGATTCAGAGGACGATTATGGTAGACAAACAAATATTTAAGAGTATTAATAATAGAAATAAATTAATGAACGAAACCAATAAATTTACATTTTCAGAAGATGATGATGATGATGATCTTCAGTCTACAGTCACATCGCAAACATTGAATAAGAAACGTAAATTCAGCGATAATTTCGATAACAATAGCGTAAAAAGTGGAAGCACGTCAAAATATCAAGGTAAAATGATTAGATTCGACATATTTGGAACCTTTATTTACAAAATTTGTATCTATAGCTGGAGGGTCAGGAATACATCGTTCATTGAAAAGAGCAAGAACAGAATACAAACCAGGAGCAGAATACAAAGCAAAAAAAGCTGGAGGTGATATTAAAAAGAAGGGTAAACCAGATCCATATGCTTATATACCTTTGTCAAGAGCATCATTAAATAAAAGGTAAATAATAATTTTTAAAAATTTGTTTAATTAGAAATATTTATCACATCGATTTAATTTTATTTTCAGGCAAAAGAAGAATGCAAGTAAATTTCGAGATATTATTAAAGGAGCAAAGAAAGGAGCAAAAATTGAAATGAAAAATAAGAGAAAGTAAAGATTACTTGTGAAGATAATATTGTATAATAAAACGTAAAAGCGCATAATCATGCTTTTTCGCGTGAATTTATGAATGTTACAATCTTTTTAATTAAAAATGTGTAAAAATAGTACATGAAAAAATTGTTTAATAAAAATCAGATTAAAAATTTCTGATCAAAAGGAAATCTCTTAATATTAGTGAATTTGTTAGTAGAAATACATTTGAATTACTAAGATGCTTCTATAAAACAAAATTATTTTATTACAATATTAAAGGATTTTGAAATTGCTGTACACATGCTATGTACAATATATTTATTAGAAATCAAAATTTACAAAGAAATTTTGTTTACACAGGTAGTTAATTTATTACATATTTCAACAAAGCAAATATTAAAATCCTTATAACTGATACAAAATAACTTAAAAATAATTATAATAATTATATTAAAATAGTGACTGGTCTTCCTTCTGGAAAAAAAAAAATTATGTAATCCTTAAAGTGCTAAAATTAAGTGTTTTCATTATTTTAGAAGTATTTAAATATTTATGCAAGTAAAACTCACATTTCTTTTGCATTAACTCTTCTTAGGCAATATATTTTCTAATTCTCCAGATTCACTCATTTCCTTTATAATATCCAGTCCTCCAATGAGTTCTCCATTCACATATAATTGAGGATATGTTGGCCAATCGCTGAATTTTTTAAGTCCTTCTCTAATATCATTATCTTGCAAAATATCGAAAGATTGATAATCTGTATTATAAGAATCTAGAAGAGAGACTATTGTTCTAGAAAATCCACAACGTGGAATTGCAGGTGATCCCTTCATAAACAGCATACAAGGTGCCTGATTTATCAATTTCTTCAGCCTATCTTCAAGGTTTTCTTTTTGTTTAAATATTTCATTTGGATCAGAATATTTGTTAGTTAAATAGAACTTAATTTTCTCGCTTATGGCAGAGGGATTGGCACCTTCCACTCTACCAAGTAAAGTGTCATTCCTTATAAAAACAACTGTTGGTACTGCTCGAATACCGACCTTACTGGACACTTCAAGTACTTTTTCAGCGTCAATTTCGGCAAACTTGACATCTTTGTACTCAGTCAGTTTGCCCATTTCTTCGATCATGTCATGTAATTGCGAACACTGATCGCACCACGATGTACAGAAATGGATGACGGAAAGATCTTCTGACCTGACACGACAAACACACGCGACCTTGAAAATCACAGATTTCTTGAGCAGTATGTATTTAATAATATCAATTTCGCAATTTTAAGACAGAACTATATCAGTAAAAACTCGTGACTTCTGAACCTTTTTACATCTAGCGATAAAGTGTAAGATATTTATTCTTTATTATACGGCAACATTTAGTCTATTGTGTTATATAAAGCTAAAAAAATAGTTTCTTTTTCTACTTTAAAAAATATTTTTGAAATATAAACAGAGATTTTTGTACAATAACGCGTTAAACAAAACACTGATTAATATAGATTGACTAGGTTATGTTGTATTTAAAAGAAGAATTGCTTGTATTTTTTCATAATTACTTACTTAACATAATTCTCATATTCTTGTAGAGAATTAAGACTAGTGACAGACATCTTGTCACGGTTTTTATATCGAATAAACACGCGTCAGTATCAAACAAAAAAACTTAGCAAATATAACTAGTCGCCACGGTGGCGTATACGCGAGTTTTATATTGTCCTCATGGAGGTTTTATATTCATACAAATATGAAACTATCGCTTCTGCGCAAAAGTTTATCAATCTACTACGTATTACAGTAGAATAATTCTGTTCTATATACAATATTAGTTTGTCAAACTGTTTTTACAATATAAAAAAAACACTAATTTTTGGAACAATTATCGTTACTAAATTTTCCGTTATTTGACAGTAGAACAAATTTGAAAATTATTCTTATCTTAAGTTATAGATATTCACTAATGCAGTAATTATATACATAGCATTTCGTTTGAATTTTTAGCTTAAATCTTTTAACAGAAAAAGCTTTTTCTGTACAAATAGGTTAAAAAATATTTGGTTAAAGACAAAGTTTGATTTGAACGAAAGTGGCGCGAAATAAAAAGTTCACTGTGAATATGACTTTAGGTCAGTGGTTCTCAATCAAAAACCATGTTAATAAAGGTAGAAGCAAGACTTTAGAACACCAGAACTTTAGATTTTATATATAAGTAAAAAAGATTAATAGTAAATAATTTGTTTTTCTATGACTGCAATAACTTTCAAAATAACTGTGAAATAACATTGGAAAGTTGTACTATCAGAACAACTCTAAATCGTAGTATTAAACTTTTATTCAATACGTACCGAAACATTATAAAGAGAAAGCGCCATAAGTTGAAGATCACTGGTACCGGATCGTATCAGATAAAACAGGTGCACCATAAGAAAGTGACCAATCGGAGTAGCGATGGGCAGTTCGTCATACAGACGTATGAGACAGTCGTCATCGGACGTCAGTACACGGGGGGTAAGGAAGGAAAATACGAAGCAGCGAGGGCTGTCAAGACACCTCGCCCACAAAAAGCAGATGCAGATGCGACCGGGCGGTGAACACGTGCGACGCTTTTTTGTGACGGGCGCGTGAACACGCGGTGAAATGTTTAAAAAGTTGTCGCGGAGCGACGCCCTCGAGGAAATATCCAATTGGAGCACCAATGATGTATCGTGTTTGCTTCGAAAGGTAAGTAAACTTCGATTAAGTCAAAAGTGATCTTTGGTATTGTCAGTGGTAAATCTCTGACACGAACTCTGCATTGAAATCTTAAATAAATTCATGGTCTATACAGAAGCTCTGAAATTTTTCTCTTTAGAATTTTTTAATTTTATCTTAATACGACCTATCTATGTGATTTGTTATTAAATTATGTGAATGGTAAATAATGTACACAAAGTGCTAACGTATAGTGTATTATTTGTACAGATCGATAGGTAAGGTAACAATCAATAGATAGGAGTTACGTGTTCTTGCCCCTTTCGTGATACCTCAGACTGGCTTAGTACACCTCGTGAACTGCTTGTCAAACTCGATGACACATTGAGAATAACGACGATTGCATATAAGACACATGTGTATAAACAGTGGTTCGCGTGTGTACTTTTAACTAGTACAGAATGAGTATATGAGGTTCACGTATCATGTTGTACTTTCTTTTTCGTGTCATAGAACCGTGAGACTGGAATACAAAAAACCACTAGAACTCGCGTGAATATAATCGAATAATGAAAGTATACCGACCGAGTATACTGTTCGAAAGTGAACATTTAAATTCTAATCCAAAAGTTACACGATTTGCAGAATAAAATATTAAGTACAGTGATGTAATTACAAAATAAGGTAGTAATATAATTTTTTACGAAAAATATTATTGTTTAACCGATCTCAAGATTGCAAAAACGTATACCTTTCATAATTGATTCAACTTTACGCGATAGATACTCAAGTTAAATAATTCTGGCGCGCTTCTATTTCACAGCCATACAATCAACAAGATCAAAGGATTCACACCATTGTATAGAAAATTAGTTTTTTTAAATCTCAAAAGATATCCATGATGTATTTTAATTAATGTGAGCACTCTGCATTTAAATTAAAAAAAAAAAAAAAAAAAAAAAAAATTTTTTTTTTTTTTATCCTTGTAGATGTTTTGTGATAAAA